ACCCAAGATCCCGAGAGGAGAATGGAGGAGAAGGGATTGCGGCGTGGCCATCCTCCCCGGGGGGTGCTTTTTTTGCTTTCTATCTCTCTGTCTTTCTGGTGATCTCACACGCCCTGTAGCAAAACCTGTCAAAAAAAACTCTTCATAGACATTGAGCATTACCATATTACTATTATTTTTACTACTATTGGCCCATAAATTTTGTAATTATTAATATTCGTGGGCTTTGCTCATGAGTGTTACTGTATGATGTATATTTCATACATTTATTTGTTTAATTCTCTAAACTTTTGTTGAGAGGGAGGTACCTTTATTTCTTTACTTTTTTAATTTGCTAACGGCACAGGTGCTCTCAGGGGAAATAGGGAGGGTGTGGAGAGGACAGAGGGACAATGAAGAAGCACCCCTGGCAGATGGTGACTCTTCAATCCTTTATTCTCTACTCTCCTCTCATGACTTTGGGCTCGCACATGAGCCTGGCATCTCTCAAGCTGCTGGATCTGGGACTCGATCATGCAGCCGGCCGTGTGGGATCCAGCCTCCTTAACCACTACACCACTGGTTGGCCTGGGAGATACCATTATTAACTTCATTTTACATATAACAAAATGAAACTGAGTTTGTGTTCAGAGTTATTTTTATCTGACCCTAAAATCTCTGTTCTCAACTCTCATATTATATACCTAACTTTACTGTTCTGGTGGTCTTCTGGTGAGATGACATAAATTATTTTCAAAATCCCTAGGATTTTTTATTTTCATCAAGAGAGGTTGGTACTCTCTCAAGAGTTCACCTGGGTTAAATTGTAAATTCTCACTCTATGCCTGAAACTAATTGACTAAAGGATACGGAAACACAGTATATAGATGTAAATGCCAGATCTAGTGTGTATGAAAGAGGAGGGTCTGAGGAAGGACATTTAGAAGAAAAATAGGGAGGCAAAGCATTAATGGCACAAAGAAATGTGGTATTATCTGTTGAAGATATTTGGTAGTTCTATCAACTGCACTAGGGAGAAATGTTCACCTGTTGAAATATCCATTTTGTAAGCCAGATAATAATGTGATTGAATGTATAAAAGAAAATGAAACAAAAAAAAATTGCGAATTCTTACCAATGTTGTTTTATTACACCGAAAGAGAAGAAGACCCGAAGAGAGTTACTTTTTCTCATTTCTATCTCCAGATAATTCCTGTGGTTGCCCGTGGTTTGAAGAAGTGAGTTGATTCCATACATATGTCTGCTTCTATAAGGTAAAAATCGTTGAGACTCATGGCTTTCCTGGTCCCTCATTCTACCCTTTTGTTTCCAGCTCAATTACTGCCTTCCTATAACTTCTTTTCCTTAAATATCCTTCTAAGCATTTTCACTAATGCAATATAATTGTGGAAACAGTTTTTTGAATGCTCTATGAAAATTCTAAGGTCAATCTTCACCTATTGATATGGTATGACGAACAAAGCTCTTGATAGAATTGCCAAAGGTGAGTTCTGGCTCTCTTGCCAACTGTATCAAGATTAAAAACTCTGGGACCAGCAGTTAGCGTAATGGCTATGTCACTGGACTCCCACATAGTCGACTGCGGTTCGAGTCCCGAACCCAGCGGCTTAAACTCCCACTGTGTGAGTGCCCAAGATCCCAAGAGGAGAATGGAGGAGAAGGGATTGCAGTGTGGCCATTCCCCCTGGGGGGGGTGATCTCTTGCTTTCTGTCTCTCTGTCTCTCTCTGTCTTTGTGGCGAGCACACATGCCCTATAGCCAAAACCTCTCCAATAAAAAAAAAGATAAAAAACACTTAAAAAGTAAAATTAATCATTTTATTTTCTTTTTTACCTCCAACACCAAGTATAGCACCTAGGTTCTCACAAATTGTTGAATTTTGAAGAATGCACACATTTTTTGTGCTTATATATACAGTATAATATACTGTACCTAATTTTGCTTATTGGATAATAAATTCACCAAGGAATTTATGCTGACTGTTGAGTTGGAAATAGGGGAGCAATTAGATCTAATTTGTCAAAAGTTAATTTTGAGCAACCAAGCTACAGCCTATTTTTCATCTTGAGTGTAACTTCAAAAAAACAAAACAAAACAAAACAAAAACAAAAACCATGCATTGTTTTCTCCACTTTGGAGCATTTTATACACCTAGAACATCTGAGAATCTTGCTGCTTTTATTCACTGTTGAAGAGGAAGCTTTTAATTTCCTCTGAGCACTTGACCAGGTAACTTTGCTCATTCTGGATATTTTACAATTTGTCCTAAGACTGATGAAGGAGCAGGGAAAAGACATGGGATGTAAGTGAAGAGTTTGGGATGCCACTCATCATATTCTTTATATTCTGCCAAATTTTAACTATAAGCCAACGTGTAAAATTCCAATTTTAGAGATAATGCCAAAGAGAATGAACATGAATCCAAAAAGTTTATTTTCCTCAGAGAAGAGTTATGCCTTCACATAAATGATGACTCTTCTATGGTGGTGTCACATATAATCTCATCTTTCCATTTTCTTCTTCCGGTTGTCACTCACTGCCAGCAGGAACTTTTCATTTTTAAGCTGTGCTTCCTCAGCATTTTCCCTTCCCGCTGTTTAGTTTTTACGAACTGAAAAATGTTAAAATCAAATTCACATTTGACTTCATTAAACCTTCATTCCTCATAAAGCGTGTTTGCTTCTTTCATGCTTCTGCAGATTAGAATATTAATGAAGAAGCACAAAACGTCAGAGACAAAACAAAACAAAACAAAAACAAAAACCATGCATTGTTTTCTCCACTTTGGAGCATTTTATACACTTAGAACATCTGGGAATCTTGCTGCTTTTATTCACTGTTGAAGAGGAAGCTTTTAATTTCCTCTGAGCACTTGACCAGGTAACTTTGCTCATTCTGGATATTTTACAATTTGTCCTAAGACTGATGAAGGAGCAGGGAAAAGACATGGGATGTAAGTGAAGAGTTTGGGATGCCACTCATCATATTCTTTATATTCTGCCAAATTTTAACTATAAGCCAACGTGTAAAATTCCAATTTTAGAGATAATGCCAAAGAGAATGAACATGAATCCAAAAAGTTTATTTTCCTCAGAGAAGAGTTATGCCTTCACATAAATGATGACTCTTCTATGGTGGTGTCACATATAATCTCATCTTTCCATTTTCTTCTTCCGGTTGTCACTCACTGCCAGCAGGAACTTTTCATTTTATAAGCTGTGCTTCCTCAGCATTTTCTCTCCCCACTGTTTAGTTTTTATGAACTGAAAAATGTTAAAATCAAATTCACATTTGACTTCATTAAACCTTCATTCCTCATAAAGCGTGTTTGCTTCTTTCATGCTTCTGCAGATTAGAATATTAATGAAGAAGCACAAAACGTCAGAGTGCTATTTCTCTTTGAATTTTAAGAGGTGACTCTGTTTTTCAAGTAATGAATTATTTCAAATGAATAATCAGAGCCACACAAAGTCTTTGTTTTAGGTGATAGATTTATAATTCTTATTCTTAACTCTTCACTGAATCTGACCTCATCAATCCATTAAGATAGGTGAGTGGTAATTGTTTTCCTTTTTTTTAAATTACATTTTAATATTAATTTTACTAAGACTGGTAATTAATTCTGCTACTTCATCTTGAGGGAGTTATTCTTCAAATCCTGAGGTTCTAAAAAAAGATAACTATTTAATCAAAAAATAGGGCATTGATTTTTTTTTTCAGCTATTCACTCCAAAGCAATGAAATAGGATGGTATTGAAAAAAAAAACCATACTAGATTCTTCTTCTTCTTCTTCTTTTTTTTTCTTTTTGCTATAGGGCATGTGCGCTCATCAGAAAGAGAGAGACAGAAAGTGAAAAATCACTTCCCCAGGGGGGATGGCTACGCTGCAATCCTTTCTCCTCTATTCTCTTCTCAGGATCTTGGGCATGTACGCACACTTACCTGGCGTGAGTTTAAGGCACCGAGTCAGGGACTTGAATCATGGTCGACTACATGGGAGTTTACCTGGCGTGAGTTTAAGGCACTGAGTCAGGAACTCGAATCATGGTCGACTACATGGGAGTCCAGTGACATGGCCATTATGCCAACTGCTGGTCTCCCATACTGGATTCTTAATTAAAGACAAAAAAAAAATGAGGGAAGAAGAGGAAGAAAAAAAAAAGAAAAAATTAACAGTGGAAGGTGAAACATTTTGAAAGTGGAGTCTCTGGCTCCCAGAACCTTTTGCTCCTTTTCCAGCCTGGTAGCAATATGTCCTGACTTGCTGTAGCACACTGCCTATGTGCTGTTGACAAGCTTCTTCATCTCTTACACACAGATAACCTCAAATGGAAGTGTTGATAATATGATTATTTTTCCATTACTAACCTACAAACACTCCATTTTTTGCTCATGCTACATATTTTCTCTTTTATATTTCTATATGTTTGTAATATCATAGCATGAGTCTTTATGATTCAGTATATAAATGTTATTACCAGAGATAGAGAGGATGACCTGTCTCCCACATACAACCAAACACACACACAAATCTCTCCTTTTCCCCCTCCCTTGTTTTATAATAGAATTAAAGAAATTATTAAGGGACTTTAGAGAACATCAGTGAAGACTTCTCATTCCATAAACTTCACAATAGATACCAAGAAAGTTTGCAAAAGTTCTTGGATTAATACTAATAATATGAATGTATAAAACTGCTGGGCTAATAATTCTATGAATGCAATTTCATGGATTAATACTAATAATATGAATGTATATATGTATATCAAACAATACACCAGAGTGTGATATATGATATTTTGGATTCAGTAAAAAGCCAACAAATAAATATTTCCAACTACAAGGGATTCTGTGGGCACAGGGACATTAAAGGATTTGAAGAGAAGAGTGAAGCATATAGAAGAAAGTACTTAACAATTACTTGAGAAACTTCTGGGCCAATAATTCTATGAATGCATTTCATTCTGTCTTCATGAGAATCCTATGTGACAGATAGTATTCTCAATTGATAAGTGAGGAACTGAGCTCAGAAAATAAATATCTTGCCAAGCCATAAAACAAGGATTTAAATTCAGATGTGTCTCAGTTGAGAACCTATTTTATTTATATATTTATTCGATAAGATCTTTAGAATTTAAAATGTAAATAATAATATTTTGTTTTGGTGTATCACTTTTATACTTTCTCACAATTCTTTATTACCCACCGGTAATACAGTTGAAACATTTTTTATTGAGAGTTTACTACTGGTGTCCTCTCCACTGTGTGCAGAGAATAGATGAAGACCTTCTGTTTCTGGGAACTCACCATCTGGTACCGTTATTCAAAGAAGTATGGTGATGTGTCATGAGAGGTTTAAATGGCACTATAATTCAAAACTGTGAATAATCGCTCTTTGTTCTTCAATCCTCAGAGGTTTTTATGGATGAGATGGACTTTTTCTTTTCCCTCTCTCTCCTGTGATCCACTGGGAAGGGTGGATGCTCTGTGAGAGGAGATGACAGAGTCAATGAACAGAGATTGGAAAGCAGAGTGTGTGTGTGTAAGAAGCTTTGGGGAGGACTGTCTGATCAATGTGTTCAGTGTGTGGAAAAGTACTGCAGAGGCCAGATGGTGGCCCAACAGTAAAGAGTTTTTAAGAATGCTCTTTAAAGCAATCGCACATGGGAAGGTTCATGGTTCAAGTCCGTACATATCCCTGTGTATACGGGCATGCACTCACCCATGATCCAGGGTCGGCCGAAGGCTGGGCATGGATTGCAGCATCCACACCCTGTTGAGCATGCTCTTTCTCTCTCTCTCTCTTTCTCACTCATGAAAGAAATGAACTTCAAAAAATATACTACAGAACAATTAGGAATAGATAAGACAATATTTCAGAAACCTACAGAGTCATCATAAAAATTTTCAGACTTACCCAGTAGGCCATGAAAGCCACAGAAAGTTGTTGAAAAAATAGTAATATCACATGATCAGAATTGGTCTCCCACCTTCCTTTAACACTAACCAGTACTATGACATTAATCAATTACTGTGGTTTTTTTTGTGCTTTGGTTTCCTCATCTATAGAATGTGGAGTAAAAAGACATATTAATCACCTTGTCTGCTGTAAGTTCAACGAACTTGGTAGCATTTGTTCTCATGCTCACAATAGGTAGGTGGAATATGTATGACTGACCCAGCATGGGCTGGGGAGAACAACTCTGTTGCAGGTTGTATTTGAATTTACTCCACATGTAATTGTTCTGGATCC